TATAGAACCCCTATCTAAGGAGACCCCAGAATGAGACTCCTCTCTAATATGGACAACCTTTTATGTCCCCAAAGCATACCTTAACAAAAGACACACCTCACATACGACACAATACAAACCTTTTCTTTAATCGGGAGAGTCCTCTCTTGGGGTAAATATGGCAAGTTTATTTTAACCCCATTTGTCCAGTTTCAACATAGCTCATCCCATCAACCTGAGTTGAAGATCGGGGTTGCATTACGTTCCGATAATCGGAGACGAATTCTGTTTACATAATGCTGTCTTGAAGCCCGTGTCCTGTCATTGCTGTAGAGCTGTGTCTTGGATTTGGCTATGTAATGCAGGTGAGAGCGGAAAGCCACGCCCCTCCCTGGAAAGCGATCCCTCGCCTATTCCATACTCCATCGTGCCTGAAGGTGTATAGAGACCGGGGACTGATGGAAACGACAATTTGTGTCTTGCGATCCCACAGTTGAAAAGGGCAGCTACTGCCATGAGTTAGAGTGGACCCAGCATGTATTATACAAATCTAGACTCATTAAGGATCTGTAGTGAGATACAAGGATTCTAGACGAAGTTTGGACTCATAGCGTACAATGTGCATTTTCACTGAGAGTCTCTTCTAATGGCCAGGGAATGTGTGTTACACAACAACTGTGTAGACTTCTCTTTCTGGCTAACTACATGTACAGTATATACCTCGTTTACCAAAGTTTTGGTCTGTCTACTTTAACTCTTACTACTCACTACTACGTTACTTTACTTACTTACCGTACTACACGTCTACTTCTAACTGTCCTACTACTATAGACTTTACTGACTGTTTTTCCTCACACTCTTTTGGCTTGGGTTGAGCTTTATAGGGATAAAACCTTCGTGATTTCAGTGTGTTAGATTTCTGTATATATACCACCTATCTAATCTTTTCTATCTTATCTCCTCTGTCTTGTAAATCTCTCTGTTAAAATATATTCTCTTTCCCTTGAGAAAAATTTGCTAATATTTGGTGAACCAAAAATGTCCACCCACAAGATCGCCGAGGAAAGCTTGAATATCTTAGTTGGCTCTGATCTTTTCTCTGTCTGAAGTATCGCTTCTACAGATTATGGTGGTGCATGTATTTGGTGAGTCTTATATCTCCAGGGAGTGGGCTAAGTTCACGTGGTACAACACACAGGCTCGTTCTATTGGTGCCATCAATCGGATGCTCTTGTTGGATTGCATGCTGGGCCCACCATTGTTTTCCATACTTTTTGATTGAGTAGAGGCACTTGTGTGCGCACGCAGGGAGCCTTTAACCGCCATTGTGTTGTCTGTACTTACTTGCCACCATCTAATGGCCGGCCACCATTGTACTGTATCTGTACTGCAAAGTTGTGTGAACCACGATCTAGTGCAATTTTGTATGTGGCGTATACATACTTATATCTTACGTTGGTGGGCAGGTTTTTATGTTGCTTGGTTTGTCTTAGTGTGTTGGTTTTCTTTTCTTGGTTCATAAAACCAAGATTATGGGGCACTATATGCTTTGCGTCAGTGTGGTACTAAGCGATGAACGCTACCATTTGTGTGCAGATGGGAATAGTATGTGTAATACAATCTTTCTATCACTTCTCACTTGTGCCCCCCCTCTCCTTTCCTTACTTTCTCTCCTCTCTCTCTCTTCAACTTGTGCCCCCCTCTCCTTTCCTACTCATTACGTTTCTCTCTCTCTCTCCTCTTCACTTGTTCCGCCCCTCTCCTTTCCTTACTTTCCTCTTATCTCTCTTCACTTGTGTCCCCCCTCTGCCTTTCCTTACTTTCTCTCGCTCTCTCTTCACTTTCGCCCCCCTCATCCTTTCCTTACTTTCTTTCTCTTCTCTCTCTTCTTCCCTTTTTATCCCCCTCCCTCCCTCTCATCATCCTTTCCTTGCTTTCTCTGCTCCACTTTGCCTCTCTCTCTCTCTTCACTTGTTCCAGCCCCTCGTCCTTTACCTTACTTTCTCTCTTCTCTCTTCAGATCCGTTCACTATTTCCCTCACACGTCCCCGGTTGTTCCGGACCCCCCTCCTCCCGTTTTTCACTCTCACCCTTTCCCTCGCCGTCCCCCCTCGTCTCCTTTCCTTAGCTAGTTCTCTCTCTCTCTCTTCACGTTTTTACCCCCGTCTCCTGTTCCTTTACTTTCTCTCGGGCCACTTTGCCTGAGGCATCCTTCCCTGTGCCCCCCTCGTTCTCCTTTTCCTTTACTTCCCTCCTCTCTCCTCTCTCTCCTCAACATCTGGACCCCACCTACTTTGTGTCCCTCCTCTGCTCCTTCTTATCTTTCTCTCGTCTCTCTCTTCCCTTGCTGCCCCCTTCGCCTTTCCTTACTGGCTTCTCTTCTCTCTCGCTCTCTACTCGTTCTCGAAACAGCCAAAACACGAATGAGGAAGGTGCCAGAAAAAGAAAAGTCAGTTTTTTCTGGAGGGCCAGCACTAGTTCAGCAGACAAGTCCGCTCCTTTGTCCGCGGCCGTCAACGAACCTCCTCCAGCCTCTCTCGCAGCCACACCCCACCAATCAATCTACGGCGCAACGCAGAGCCGCAATGCCGACCTGGCGATCGAATCGGACCATGCAGTTACGCGGTGGACGACAGGCTTCCCCGACGTAGCTGGCTGCGCGCTTCTTTAGCTTTCTCCACTCGACCCACTCCAACACCAACCTGGCGCTCGTCATCCACCACAACCAGGTGGTGCTCACGATCTCAGTCATGAGCAGACACAACGAGAACGTGCCGAACGCCTACTCCCTTGGCCTTCACCACGGCGTCACTCTAACTACGTGCGCAAGACGCTCACGACGCTAGTCGCTCTAACCAGATACCCACGTTTCGCTGGCGGCAAGCACCAGATACGAGTACGGCCATGCACGACCGCAGAAACCGTCCTCCTCGTATTCGGAGATCGCTATTCTGTTTCAGAAGACACGTCGATCGCCGGTGCCACGCGTATCTACAAGCAGCGTTCTGGACACCCTACCATTACACACGGTCGCCGAGGATCTGGCAAAGTTAGAGTCCCTCGCCTTTCGGGCTACTCTCCAAGCACCACTTGGAGCACCTGGACCTCGGGAGTGCAGCTTTCGACACTTGTCTTGCGATTGAGCCGCTGAAGAAGGAGAACACGACATTTCGGACTCCGATCGGGATGAAACAGAGACCTGTATCGTCGCTGGACCTGCACCTGGTTGCCATGAGGAACGATGGAACGGGAGCTTCCAGATCGTTAAATCTTCGGCTCAAACACCTATCAACTACCGATGTACCTGCAGCTTCTTCTTCCTCGAACGAGGACCACGACAGTTTTCCATTCGTTAGCAACGGCCCGTTGTTTGGTATTGGAGGAATCGTTCTCCGCAGGCGTATCAGCATGACCGGTCCAAACTCCCAGCCCCGCCCAGTCTCCGCCTCGTTTGTGGACCCGCCTACCATAAAGAAGATGGTCGCAGCATCGAGAATGTCTCTGCAGCCTTATGGAGGGAGTCTGACTGACATCACGCGACCGGACAGCCCCGCCCAGGGAGACGAGAGCCCGACCATGTCCAAGATCCGCCCGAAACGCCCCGCCCCACAGGCACCCGGGATACCCCAGCCTCTGAGTCGAACGGGTACCCCAGACTCCGGGCGGAGTACCCCAAAAGGATTCAGAACGCAGTCGCCGCTAGTGGGGTACCAGTCGAGTCTACCTATCATCTTCCCCTCACCTCAGTGGTCCAGTCGCGAAAAACTCACTAACACGATGACCCCTAATGGCAGGGTCACACCCACTGGTCCCCCAATCATCAACAACCACCTCCCGCCTGGTGCCGCCTTCGAACAGCATCGCACGACCGTCTCTTCACCTCCGAAGATGCTAGCACTACAGCGAAACGTCAGCTCCCCACAATTACCCTCACCTCCTCAATTATTACCCGTCATCCACCGAAACACGAGCTCGCCTCAACTACCCATGATACCCATCCAGGAAGAAGACACGCCCATCATCCACCGCCCCGTGGCTCTGCCGGAAATATTAACCCCTTCCTCACCACCGGTGATCATGAACGGACACATCCCCACACCACCACCACCGTTTCTCCGTCGCGATTCTCTCTACATCAGCCCGAGAAAACAGTCTCTCACACTCCCTGCTGTGGACAAGAAGCGGCTTAGAGTCAGTCAAATCCTGGAAACGGGAGGGATACGCGGAGGAGACCTGAGCAGTAGTCGATTGGACCTCCTGGAGGCCATAAGGAAGGGAATCCAGTTGAAGCAGGTGGAGGAGAAGGAGAGGGAGAAGGAGAACCTGGTCAGCATGCCGTGGGACGTGGCCGCCATCCTGGAACGAAGACGGGTCATGGAATTGGAATCGGACACGAGCGAGGAGGAAGAGAGTAACGACACCGAGTGGGAGGACGACGATTAGAAAGATTTGGATCCAAACATGCGAGTGTTTTTTTTGCTCGTAACCACCTTTTGTGCACCCATTGTATTTTGAATCATATTTTTGTCAGATATATATACAAGTATTATGTTCTGCTCGTCCTGTGTATGTCATTAGTTTTGCTTACAAAATGTGTATATAACATATTTGGCTGTACCTGTAGATTTTGTGTGTTGCCATGTTCACCATTGCCATGACGCCAGGTTATCATTCATCAGTCATTGTTTTCTCACAACTGTTGCCAGGTCGTATTTATTGCATAGTCAACAACAGCATCATATTATCTTTGCACAGTTCAATATGGAGAATACATGCCCAACGTTATGTAATCGGTGAGCCAACCTATAGGCAATTCCAGTTGTGTTCGCCGCAATACCCGCGTTGATAACTTCCGTATAATATATACTAAATATGATTCAACACAGATGAGTGAGCGTATGCTTTGTATTAGCTGACAGTACACATGCTCTATGGATGATTCTCATTCACCAAGATATCCATTACACAGTAATCAAAGAAACATTATACCTGAGAAATGCCGAGAATGTGTTAATAAACTATGAGGTTGAATTGGAGAGTGACTTGTGGTTGGTGGGCTGGTCAGAGTCCGAGATCTGGTTCCGACTGAAGTCCAGTATGGAACTGAGACGGACTGGAACACCTCGCAGCCTCACTGAGCCATCTCGAGCCTCCGTGATCTGAGACAGTAAGGGCTCTCACTCACATTTCTAGCCAAACATCCTGTATTCATTGCTCCACAACCAGATCCCAAACGAGGGTCAATATTGATCCTCTATCTCCATACTTTCAGATTGATCAGGGTTCTAAGTACAGTATATACCCCACGTGCACCCTTTATCTCCATACTTTCAGATTGATCAGGGTTCTATACCCCACATGCACCCTTATCTCCATACTTTCAGATTGATCAGGGTTCTAAGTATATACAGTATATACCCCACATGCACCCTTATCTCCATACTTTCAGATTGATCAGGGTTCTAAGTAGTATATACCCCACGTGCACCCTTATTCTCCTCCTTTCAGATTGATCAGGGTTCTATACCCCACGTGCACCCTTTATCTCCATACTTCAGATTGATCAGGGTTCTATAACCCACATGCACCCTATCTCCATACTTTCAGATTGATCAGGGTTCTAAGTATATACAGTATATACCCCACATGCACCCTTATCTCCATACTTTCAGATTGATCAGGGTTCTAAGTAGTATATACCCCACGTGCACCCTTTATCTCCATACTTTCAGATTGATCAGGGTTCTATACCCCACGTGCACCCTTTATCTCCATACTTTCAGATTGATCAGGGTTCTATACCCCACGTGCACCCTTTATCTCCATACTTTCAGATTGATCAGGGTTCTAAGTATATACAGTATATACCCCACATGCACCCTTATCTCCATACTTTCAGATTGATCAGGGTTCTAAGTACAGTATATACCCCACGTGCACCCTTTATCTCCATACTTTCAGATTGATCAGGGTTCTAAGTAGTATATACCCCACGTGCACCCTTTATCTCCATACTGATCAGGGTTCTAAGTAGTATATACCCCACGTGCACCCTTTATCTCCATACTTTCAGATTGATCAGGGTTCTAAGTAGTATATACCCCACGTGCACCCTTTATCTCCATACTTTCAGATTGATCAGGGTTCTAAGTAGTATATATATACCCCACGTGCACCCTTTATCTCCATACTTTTCGGGGTTCTAAGTAGTATAAACCATAGTGTGCGCACTGTTTCAAACATTGATCCACAATGCGCTGTTTTTCATCTGCTGTAGGAAGCTTGCACTCTGATTACTTTCACATTGATCAGGGTTCTAAACCTTTATTTCCATACTTCACATTGATCAGGGTTCTAAACCTTTATTTCCATACTTCACATTGATCAGGGTTCTAAGTAGTATAAACCCCATGTGTACTACCGCTGAACCTGGGCTACAAGTATATACCCATACACTCGCACCTTTACAATGACATAGTCTCCAGGTCTGAAAGTAGTGGAGGATTGTGTGAGAGGCTCTGTCATTGAGCCGGGGAATATCACCTTCACATTGCCGTCCGTACGACCTGCCACTTCCTCCTCGCTCCTCTTACTGGTCTGTAAGATAAGACAGAGGGAAGGGGAGGCAGGGTGAAAGGAGAGAGAGCGACATTGAGAGATTGTAAGTAATGAAGATAAGTACTCAAGAGCGAGAGAGAAAAAAGGAAAATAGAGCAGAAAAAGATGACTGTATCCACACAAACTGCTAAAAATTGGCTTGAAAGAACAAAACTGCTGAAATTTTTCACAGGTGTTCAACCATTCACTGCCAAAAAAAATGCATGTCTCAACAACTTGGCAACTAGGTAGAAAGGCAAGGCAAGGCAAACAAGTCAACTACACCCAGGACAGCTCTTTCTTTTCAAAGAAAAGAAGAAGAGCTGCCCTGGGTGGGATGATAGAAAAGAAGAAGAGCTGCCCTGGGTGCATCCATTCCTGCATACTTCAACCCAGGGTATACACACACATTGGAACCTCCGAACAAGGGACACTATGGATCCAATCATTTTCCTATATCGGAGGGTCCCTTATCGGAGGGTCCACCGTATACGAAAAAGCCCAGAGAGTGAGTGGCTTACTCCCTCCACAAGGACCAACTGATGGGAGCCCACTAGTCGTCTGTTCCTCTCTCCCACATGAGAGTAGAACGTGTCGATGATCTCCTGCAGTCGTCTCTTCTTCACCTCCTCCAGCACATCGTCCTGCATCGCGTGATGGGCATGGGTTTTCTGGAGGAAAAGAGAGAGAGGACGTGAAGAGGAAGTAAGGAGAAGAATGATAATGCAAGAGCTATAACTTTTCCAAAAGTCCTGATCAAAATGTACGTATGTGTCAACTTATGTGGAGTCGTTCTACCATAGGCATATTATTATAGTGAAAAACGTTTGTGTTAGTGAAAGTTTGCCGTGCCAATGTTTTATTATGTGGGGACAGTAATCCATGAAAACTGCTACCTTCTCTGCTGCTATATATATTTGTGTGTTGTGTGATATATACTCAAAATGCAACAAGAGTTCCTGCTGTACTTCAAGTTTGTGATATGATGTGATGGTAAAATTCACAGACTCGGCCCACCTTCCTCATGGAGTATGCGAACATGTAGGCCATGTCAAACTTGACGGTGTCCAGGAGAGAGATGGTGTCCCGATGTTCCTCGTCCGTCTCCCCACAGAACCCTGCTATGAAGTCTGACGATAGGGACACGTCTGTCAGGAGGAAAAGTGATGTGGGGTGTGTGCACGGAAAGAGTATAACTTCTTCCAAACCCTATACACACAACACTGAGACTGAGGACGATGCATGAACCACCGTAGCTTACTTGGTATATATACACGATATGGTAGTGTTATTCATTCCCTTCTGAATGCTGGATTTATACGTGTGTGTAAGGACTGTAACAATCATTATCACTCTCGAGCATGCGCAGTACGCATGAGGTAATGCATGACAAATGAGGGTGTGGCATGAGAGTGACAGTGCATAAGTCAACGTACAATATAGTACGGTGACATGGTATAAATACGTGTGATAGGCTACATTACTACACATACATTTTTTCGCAACTGATCAGTTGATGGAAAAGTGTTGCTAACCTGGAATGATAGACCAGATATTTTCCACCAGTTCCAAGTAAGACTCCCTGGTGTATCTGAACATACACACACCACCGAATGTGAGCAGCGAATCCACTAATTGGAGGGGCTTACCCTCGTCTCATTCTCTTGAGAACCTCAGTGTTTCCACTCTGAGCTGGCATGTGGACCAGGTTGCACACGTTGGCTCTCTCTCTAATCAGGTACAGCAGCTGGTAGGGGGGAGTTGAACAATTTATCACCACCGCTGTATCGTCAGGAGAAAACTCTTTTTCCATTCTACGAATTCTGAGAACTATTTTACTTCAAAGGCAAAGAATTTACTTGCTTCCCTCACCCGTGCAATTTTACGCCAAAAATTTACGCATGCATACTACCACACATGAAAAACCAACTATTAGGCCAAAAAATCTTGGAATACACAAAATTAAAAAACCTGCTAATGGTACGCTTTATGATAAGTCTGTGGTCATGATGATGGTTGTGCTAGTGTAGTCATGCATACGTAGTAATACCTCATCTGGGAAGTCTTTAGGATGTGGAGACGTGAATCTGATCCTCATTTCTGGATCCACCTACAGACACACACAATATTATCACAAAATCCTATTACGTCATAGATGTACACACTAAATCCTGCAATAAGTATTTAGCGAATTACTATTTATCACTAAGTACGATAGTATGTGTATACTTCCGGGATGACACAGGTTATCCAGCATCATGCATCATGCCCATACATTTGAGATGTTCACATTTTAGCCCATAAATAATTCGTGGTTAAAACTTCTTTGGGTTTGCCGTGAAAAGTTGTTAATGAAAATTGTTATCTTTTACATAAAAGTTGTTAACGTTTTCTCCCTAGAAAAGGTCCTATACTACACATACAGTAACTCAGAGAGTGAGACTCACCAGCGAGACTTTATCCATAAGGTCAGCAAACCTGCGCCCGCCCTGCCTGGTCCTGTAGATGGTGGAGAATCCTCTGCTGAGGCGAGTGTCGGTGGAAAAGGAGACGGGGACGGTGGTCTGGGAGAGGTCACGGTAACTGTTGACGTTCTGACCCAGGAGAGTCACCTCTTTCACTCCCTGGTTCATACGTAACATATGGGGTTGAGGGCCGAGGGGAGGGGGAAGAAGAGAGGGGGGAGGGGGAAGTGGGTAGGTACGTAGGGTTGGAGGTGGACTATGGAAATGGGGTAAGAACAGGAACGAAGGAAGCCTGTAGTATGATTTTTACGAGGTCAGATGTCCACAGTATAATCTGTGCCAGATAGATTCTTAGGCTTGGAAAAGTAGTGGGTATACTTGTTTCCTCCACGTGCTACTACTATTGCCTTTATCCACATCATTGTGTACTTGTATACTTCCTCAGAATAAGGGATGTGTAGAAGAAAAGGAGCATGCATGCATTATATATACGCAGCCGTGTGCATAATTGTTATGAACCTGATCGGAGAGCATTTTGACCTCCTGCAGAATGGAGTCAGTGGGTCTACTTCTCTCTCTTCCTCTGGTGAACGGCACGATGCAGAAACTGCACATGTTCTCACAGCCTCTCATTATAGAGCTGTAACAGAGGAGAGATGGGAGACATTATACCGTTGCATTTTTTGGCCGAGGAAAAAGGTTTTGTTTTTCAGGTACAAAATTTTACTGAACGAAAATTTTACGCAGTGTGTCTGTGTGCGTGTGTAGCGACAACAGCAAATGAAAACTTTATTTTACACAGACCGAGCGAAATAAACCTGCTACATATATGGAGAGGAAAAAGACTTATAGTTTGACTGGAGATAGGTAGAGAGAGAGAGAGGATTGGATGAAAGTTAGAGTTACTGACATATAGGCTGATGGGGAGTCACTGTTAATTCTGACTGGCATCACATCAGCATACGTCTCATCCAGTGACAGTAGAACATTCACTGCAGAGATTTGGAATAGTCACAGCAGGCGATGTGTATGCTCCACACATAGCCCATGTTACCTGCAGATTGTCCCGTTTCAGTCACTGCTAACAGCTGAGGCAGACTGCGATAGGAATCTGCAGTACCAGTTAATAAAACACATTGACATCAATACAAACAAACATTAAACCCTTTGGACACCTTGGGGATCTGCTTAAATAAGCAGAAATTGATGTATAAAGTATTAGTGCCCAATATTATAACCACTATATAAATTCTTATTGACTTATGGAGGCTGTGGACACATTAACGTGTTCGCTGCTGGTTAAGTGTTAGCTTAGGTAAACCCCATTAGTATGATAGAGTATACCTGGGCCAGCCACAAGGTCCACCATCTTGTCAGTCTCCAGAATCTTCTTCTTCAAACGTTCCGCCATGCAACCTAACGACGAAAGTAAATCTCTACGAAGATCAATAAAATAGTATATTATACAGCGACGGTGGTGAAGTTGAGGTACCAACATTTTCTCACCCGTATAATTATTGCTAAAAGTCGGAAGGAATATATACCACTGTTCATGCACCCAATCCCTTGTGATATTTAGCCCGAGTAAATATACAGAATTCTCAGTGACAGTACCTAGCAATATATATCATCGCCTCATACATTATGTGCCCCACCATCAGAACATGTTTGCATTTTTTGAAGGAACGTGAATAAAAGTAATGAGAGCAATGATAGCAATGCCTTATCTCGCCTTTCCTTTTACTTCCTCATATATTATGTATGTACCCCGTCCTAAGAGCAGTTGTAGGGACACGAGTCAACAATGTGACAAACCAGTGACAGTACCTAGAAGTCCAACTTTGAGAGGCGGTCTGTGGCGAGATCTCTTTCTCTTGAGGCTACGGAAGTAGTCCAGTCTGGACCATATCTTCCTCTCGGCATTCTCTCTAATGGCACACGTCACTGCCAGGATCACGTCGGCCTGTAGCAAGCAGGCACGGATGTACATATGGATGGAACATGAGGTATATTTCCATAATACAATACATAATAGAATGTGGAAAAATCGCAGTACAAACCATGCTGAGAAAATAATAATATAGAGCAAAATACAGCAATTCTTTGACGTGAACTAGAATTTCACATTTGTTTCCAATGGGCAAAAACATTTTAAAAAATCTCTGCAAACGGTATATATGCAGCATTCCCCATTTTTGTGCTTTCATCACTTGCCTCTTCTACACTGTCAGTTCGAAGGTAGCCGGCCTCACTGAGGAAAGGTCCATGCTATGTCAGCATCACTCACGTTCATCTGGCACCCATAGATCTCCAAGTAGACTGATAATGGCAAAAATCATAAGCGCATGCGACTATTACCAAACCGCATGCAGTTAGCTCATAAACCAGTGAAACTCGCTCGTCAGCGGCCACATACCTTTTCTCCCGTTTCCAGAGAGTTCATTTGGCTTCAGGTAAGGTGCAGTTGAGAGCGGTTCTTCACCAGGTGCTTGCGGTGTCCCCGCGGACATAAATTCCTTGAGCCCCGGACCTTCCCTACACGTTGTCGTCGAGCTACTAACATACTTGGGAGATGCAAAGTGAGCAGGTTTAATCCTCCATCGTTTCAACCCCTGACTCAGCTGCCGAAGAGCCAAAAGTGCAAACCTACTACTCATGGTGGGCTACAATTGGAATCCTACCGATTTAGCGCATGCGCTGATCAATTGATCAGACCTTTGAACTTACAGCATGATGAGTGATGAAGTGTATTTTGCGAGTCCGTTCCCTTGTTTTCTTGGCGCTGCTCTATCTCATCCTCGTACTGCTGCTATACTACTACCTCTGGCAAGACCGGGCCCTGAGTAAACTCTTGGAAACTCCCGCGGGCTTCGAGGGAACTTTTACCAACGACCTAGACTATGATTATCCTGTTGAGGACCCAGACGTGGCGGAGGACGACCCTGGGGGAGTAGAATTCAATTTCAGGAGGAACCCCGCCCCCCAGGGGGTCAAGATATTCAATGGTCCCCAAAAAAGACCCCTCTAATACAAGTCTTAGAGGCTATATGTCTAAAACCAATACCACTAAGACCACCAGCAAACCAGAATCACTGCAATTGAACCGTCTACCACTCAAAAGCCTCACCCTTCCC